CCCTCTCTCGGAGAATGGGCCATGGAAGAGCTAAGTCATGAGGCCTTGGCGCTGTTGTGAAGCAGTATCGAAACTTCATGCGAAGCCGATTCGCAATCAGCAAAACCAACTGATCACAAGAAGGGTTACCACACCTGGCGATTGGTAAGACGTGTATGGTGTACGGGCTTGGTTACCACACCTTGCGATTAAAGGGCCGAGGGAGTTCTCGCAGTTTGGGTTACCACGCCTTGCGATGGATGTGCGTGAAGGGTGGCACCGAATTTCAGAAATGTGGCAAATCCCCTGTGTTTTTGGACCCTGACCCCGCGGATCTGCGTGAGGGGTGGCACCGAATTTCAGAAATGTGGCAAATCCCCTGTGTTTTTGGACCCTGACCCCGCGGATCTGCGTGAGGGGTGGCACCGAATTTCAGAAATGTGGCAAATCCCTGTGTTTTTGGACCCTGACCCCGCGGATCTGCGTGAGGGGTGGCACCGAATTTCAGAAATGTGGCAAATCCCCTGTGTTTTTGGACCCTGACCCCGCGGATCTGCGTGAGGGGTGGCACCGAATTTCAGAAATGTGGCAAATCCCCTGTGTTTTTGGACCCTGACCCCGCGGATCTGCGTGAGGGGTGGCACCGAATTTCAGAAATGTGGCAAATCCCTTGTGTTTTTGGACCCTGACCCCGCGGATCTGCGTGAGGGGTGGCACCGAATTTCAGAAATGTGGCAAATCCCCTGTGTTTTTGGACCCTGACCCCGCGGATCTGCGTGAGGGGTGTCGATTTCGAGCCCCCCCAGCAATTCAGACAACGCGCCCAGGTGAGGCTAAAAGCTTTGTTTGGGCCTCCCCCCCCCTCGCGCGGTCAATCAACTAGTTACAGTAACCAGCAAGAAGTCAACTAGTTACAGTAACCAGCAAGAAGCAGAACTGTAACACTGGAAACTACAAGCTACAACTGGTACAGGAAACTGCGAATCACGCGCCTCGCAGCCTGGTGGCCCCACAAGGTGGAAACTACAAGCTACAACTGGTACAGGAAACTGCGAATCACGCGCCTCGCAGCCTGGTGGCCCCACAAGGGGGCCGGCGGATTATTATTCTTAGTAGTATTACTATTTTGGGGGTATGTCTTATTTGTCGTCGAATATCCCCCTGTAGGGGGACAGGCCCGACTTGACCATGGCGCCGATGTGTGTAGATATGTCCGCCAGCGGGCGTCACAGGGCCAGCCGTTCTCGGGCCGCCTGCGGGGGAGGAGGCGAGGCGTGCTCCGCCGCCGGAGGCCGCCTTTGGGGGGCCCGTTGGAGCCGACTTGGGGGCCCTCTCGGGGCGAGGCGGGGCCGCCTTCTTGGAGGCCATCTCGGGCGCCTCGGAGGCCTCTTGGGGCCCCGTCGGGCCCGTCTCGGTGGCCTCTTGGGCCGTGGGACCATCTGGGAGGCCTCTTGGGCCGTCTTGCGCCGTCGGGAGGCCGAAGCGAGACGCGTGACAGAATCCTTCAAGAGCCGTCGGGAAGCACTGTTTTGGGGCTCTTCGCGCCTTCAGGAAGAACCCTTGACGGCCTCTTGGGCCGTCTTGGTGGCCTTTTTCGGACCTCTTGGGCCATCCTGAGGCCATATGGGGTTCTCTCGAGGCCACCTTTGCCGTCTTGGAGGCATTTGGAGACCGTCGTGGACACTATCTTTGGCCATCGTGTGGCGTGCTGGAGGCCATCTCTTCCGTCTCAGGGCGATGTGCTGTGCACATTGAAATCTTTGCGCGGCTCTCTGGATGGCCAGCAAGTTGGGCTGAATGCGCTTGGGAACCTTCCACACAAAAAAACAGCAATTAACTAAAGTCTGGCACGCTGTGCACCCCTCTGACAAGGCACAAGGGGCGGCGGATCTAGTGGCATGAGGCACATCCCGCCGATTCCGCCACCGTGCCCAGATCGTGGAGAAGAGGCTTCTCGGGGGGGCCGATGGAGCGACGGAAGAAAACGGGATCGACCGCGCCGACATTGGCGCGCAAGCTGCCCGCGTACTGTCGCGCGTAAGCGCCCTCGCCTCCGGCGTAGCGTGCCGCGCTGGCGGCCCGCGTGAGCGACCGCGTAAGGCCGCTATGCCATATCGCGCGAGGCCCGTTTTGGATCGTCGCTCTCGTGAGGGTGGGCTTCTCCAGCGTCCTTTTGGGGGGGCTTCTCGGGGGCCGCCTGGGGTCGGGGGCGGCAAAGAGTGGGGGGATGACTGGGGGGGGGGGATTTCAAGGCGCGGGCCATGATTTTTCCTCAGATTTCATGGCGCCTTCTCTTATTTCATTACGTCCCTGGCCCACCCGCTGGGCCGCGCACATGCCGCTGGTCATGATTTGCACCCCCCTCCCTCTCGGACACCCCCCTCTTGGCCGCTCCCGATGGGGCCTGCCGGGGGCCTCTTTGGGGGCCTGCTGGCCGGGGGGGGGGAGGCATCCCGGGCCCCCCCCCCTCTGGCCCGCCGGGGGAGGCAGAGGGAGCTGAGCTCGGGCGTGCCCTCGGGGC